AGGCGCGCGCCCCGCCAGCCGCCGACCGGGGGAGGAGGCAAACTTAAGAGAGGGCTCAGGGGTGGGGGTCTTTCACCCACAATGTTTATCTGTAACTAATTTAGGAATAAACCCTAGAGGTTCACTTCCTAATCATCCATGGCAAACGGATGTTGCTCATATTACAAAATTTGACAAATTAAAATATATACACATGTCAATTGATAGATATTTAAATTTCTAAACATATGACAACAATTCAATGATGTTTTCCTTACATGGGAGTTCCAAAAATAATAAAAACAACCTATACACTAAACAGTAAAAAAGACCCAATTTGGGGTGGAGGAAATGTTTGTGCTTTCTTACAGGAAAACAATAAAACAAGATGGCCAGTGGACCATTTGGAGATATGCATGGAGAAAAGGAAAACTGACATGCTGAGATAAAATAGCCACCCCTCTCCTCCTCCTGAAAACCCCACCTCCAAACTCACCCATAGCCAGCTCATGGGTTCTAGACTGTGTGGCATCCCCTACTTTCAATTCGCTTAACCCATTCTTATCTCTGCAACCTTACCCTGTCCTCTGCTGATTCCTCCTAACAATGCCTGGTGGGCCTGCCTCGATGGTCTCACTCCCTGCCTTTCCACCTATATCTTTGAGGAGGTGGCATTCTGCATTCTTGTGCAGGTGGTTCTCTCGCTTATCACCAGCCTGACAAATCCTTTCACTTCTGGGAACAATCCCAAGGGACCTCCACCCTTTCTCATCCTCACAGAGGCAAGGAACCTATATCAGCAGTTACAATTGCAATCCTCCAAGGCTTGGGAGCTGTAGGAGCAGGTACTGGGATCTCTTCCCTCATCATTGGCCGATCCAGCTATACTGAGCTCAGTGCCACTATAGACAGAGATTTTGTTTTGTTTTGCTTTGTATTTTGTTTTTTGTTTTTTTGAGACAGGGTTTCTCTGTGTAGCTTTTGGAGCCTATCCTGGGACTCACTCTGGAGACCAGGCTGGTCTCGAACTCACAGAGATCCTCTGCCTCTGTCTCCCAAGTGCTGGGATTAAAGGCATGCGCCACCAACGCCTGGCGACAGAGATGTTAAGGAACTTCAAAATCAGATAGCCTACTTAGAAGAATCCCTACAATCTCTAGCTGAGGTAGTCCTACAAAACAGAAGAGTCCTAAATCTACTCCTCCTCCAACAAGGGGGGTACGTTAACCGTTCAGGAGTCATTAAAGATAGCATGACCAGAATCAGAGAGGGCTTAGAAAAAACACCAAAAGGCAAAGAACAACAGGAAGCCTGGTACCAAAACTGGTTCTCCACTTCCCCATGTCTTAGCACCCTCCTATTTTCCCTCCTGAGACCCCTTGTGGAACTTCTGCTGTTGGTATCCTTTGGCGCTTGGGCCTTCAACAGACTAGTGGCCTTTATCAAACAGCAGGTAGAGTCTGCCACTAGGCCTATTCAGGTTCATTATCATAAACTCTCCTCCAAGGAGGATGACCTTGGCTGCCCCAACACCACTTGCCTTGGGCTATTCCTCCCCCCACCAAAAAAAAAAGAAAAAAAAAAACGGAACTAGCCTCATGACCCCCATGGCCAGCTTCAGAGGTGCAGACCCGGATGGTACTGCAGAGAGATTAAGATCACATCTTTGGAGGAAACGGATGGATCAATGTTCCATCTCCCCACCCCCACAAAAGAACATCGGGCTATCAAACCCCCAGGATGGATCCAAGTACCTGTCCTGAGGGGCACAAGAGTCTACCCTGCCCAATCTGCTAGGGGGCCAGGCCTCTATTCCCCTCTGCTGCAAAACTTGGCCTTTTCCTTTAATACAAGGAAGGGGGAATATGTTGGGAGCCATACAGCTTGGCATGAACCTTTAGACCAAACTTGGCAAGCCATATAGTTATAGAACTGTCTTTTGATTATAAAGGGCTTCTAGAAGCATGAGCACCCAGAAGGAACAACATGACCCACACATTAATCCTTTGTTCCAACCACAAGCCCACTTACCTAAGCAAACCTCCTGCATCCCACTACTTACCTAAGCAACCTTCCTTCTTCCCACCACTCACCTAGATAACCCTTGCTCTCCCCATCACCCATGAACTTTTTACCCTGCCAATATCCTCTTTCTAGAGTTTTCTAACATCCTGCTTAAACTAACACCTGGCTCTTGGCCTTTTCTCCCCCTCCCCTTTACCTCATACTACTGACTATATAAGCTACCCTGGAAAAAATAAAATTTGCCACTTGATCAGAATCCTGTCTTGTAGTCATTCTCTCCTGTCTCTTTTCCCCATTTCTCTCCCTGGACTTCTTGTTCTAGGTTGCTGTCCTTTGGGTCAGGACAACTACATTCCTCTGTAGCTGGTCTGGAACTTACTGTGTAGTTTAGAACTTATGGAAATCCTCCTGCCTTGACATCTTAAATGCTAGGATTATAGATGAATATCATCATATCTGACTGCAATGAGACTATTTTAAAACCTCAACATTACATGCATATACATATATGTACATCTATATACTCTCACACACTCATAGGCACACCTTTACAGCTATATCTTAGGCAAGGCCATACAAGGTTGATTCTAGGCACTAAGCTATAGAATAGCCAACACTGAAGAATTTTGAAAAATCATGCAATTGTTTTTACATGTTTTGTGTCTACTTTTTGCCTACATAGGCAACTTCTTCAGCAACATGGAAACAAACAGGTGAGTCTGGGTCTTAGTTCACAAGGACAATGTGTAAGAACTGGTTTTGGTTGTATACAACTGTAGTCTGAGTCCTGGGGAGGGAGGGGGTAGGCAGGTGTGTCTTGAGTTCCAGGTCGGCCTGGGCTATATACTGAGACCCTATTTCAAAAACTCAGAGCTAGAGTGTAGAATATTCCTTTACACCATGTGAATACATGTCACTGTGATTGGTTTAATAAAAAGCTAAACAGCCAGCAGCTAGGCAGAGAGAGTGCTGGGGAGAAGAAGGGTGGAGTCAGGAGGAGATGCCATGAGATACAGAACAAACAGGACTGGAAATACATAGATGAGGTGAGCGAGCCTTGGGGCAGCACATAGATTAATAGAAATGGGTTTGTTTAAGTTGTAAGAGCCAGCTAAAAAGAAACCTAAACTTTCAGTTGAGCAGTTATAATTAATAATAAATCTGTGTGTTTACTTGGGAGCCAGCTGATGGGACACAGCTGGCCATCAGTCCTGATGAAGAACTCTGCCTACACTGGAGTGTAACTTAAAGATAGAGCATTTTCCCGGAGTGCACTAGGGCCTGAGTGTGCTCTCCAGCACCTCCAGTAACAATGGTGATGACAACATTCTGCTTAGTGCTCACCTAGCCTGATGGATGGATCTGGTTTCTCCTGCTTTCATCTCACTCCTCCTCACTGTAGCTGTGTGTTTCCCACTGTCTCCAGGCACTGAAGACAGACCCACCTCACTCCTGTAGGATTTGCATCTTTGGAGGTGGTTCTGGTAGAGACTCCATCCAAGGTATCCAGGGAGAGGAAGAATTGTCCACTGGGTCTCATATGCTACTCTTGTCCTAAATC